TTTGCTGTACTCACTATTTTGCGTACGTGCCCCAGCGCGCTGCCCTCTTTGCCTTTACAGTTCTCCACCTGGTACGGGGGGGCGATGACCACTTCTTCCATCACAACTATGTTCTTCTCCTGCCATTTACAGTCCTTAATGCTGCGGGGGTGGGGGGCAGAAGGATCAGCCCAGCCGTGTCCCCCCCCCCCCCCCCCCCCCCCCCCCCCAGTTCCCATTCCACCACCTAACATATCCCGCTGACCGCCTGCAGGTTTTTGGGGGTGACACCAAACACAGACACCCCTCCCTGGGCCACGTGGGGACCCCAAAACCCCGGTGTGGGTGCTGGGAGAGGGCAGGCACAGAGACTCACGTCTTGTGGATGGTCTGGAAGAGCTGCTGTCCCTCCAGGGAGACCCCCGCACTGATGGCGTATGCCTGGCTCAGCTTCTCCTCCTTCTCCATCCGTGCTTTGTTGGCGAGCTGGGGGGAGATAGAGATCCTTCACACACTGCCTGCGCCCCACAGCACCCCCAGAAGATGGCTGTGCACCCACCAGCATTCCCTCTGCCTTTCCCCAACTATCAGTGCATTTTAGCTCCCAGCCACCTTCCATTTGTTCATGCTAACGCGTGACAACCTGGGTAAGCTGAGTCCGAAATAACCACAACATTAAGGCTTGCACGATGGAGGTATGAGCAACTTTATCCCAGAGCAGTTACTACAGTCCAAAAAAGGTAACAACAACAACAACAAAGTCAGCTTTTTGGGAAGAGCAACAGCAATCCCTCTGGCAGCACACAATCCATGTGCAGGGAGGCCTCCGTTGGGGCTCACACTGACACAGCACAAGCAGCCCATGAGCAAGGAGCAGGAGCAGGGTGGCCAGCACACAAGGCCATGGAGGTTTCTCCCAGCTCCTTCAAGAGCTCATGGAGCAGCAGCAAAAGGTTCAGGGCTTCCCCTCAGCCCTCACATGGAGCCTCTCCCCCTCAACCTGGCAGCTGAGAAGCACTGCAGACACTGAACACACTGCTGACAACACTGCATCCCGAACAGCAGCAGTGAGCTCTCTGTAAGCCTGCTCTGGGTACAAAAAGCCCTATTTCTCAGGGAGAATGGGCATTTCTTGCAGCAAACACTGCTCGTCCCTCCAGCACAGCTTCACTTTGGCTTCTCACCCAAACAATGTGACCCACAGCACCCAGGGCTGCAGCCATGAGCCACACCACTGACAGCACAGTGAGGCCCTGCAGGGAAGGATCCAAAGGTTCCTCTCCCATTTGCCCCAGCCAGAACAGAACAGCCCCCAGCCCCCCATCTAGCTTCCTCACTTCCACAGCATCCTCTCAGCACTGGGACCTTTCCTCAGCTCTGTGCCTCATGCAGTGCCTGCATGAATGAATGAGTCACCGCCCCTCTCCTGTCCCATTGGTGTGAGTGACAAAACATGAGCAAACAGAACTGCTGCTGGGGCAGCCCCTGGCACCACAGAGTAGAACAGGGCACTGAGCACAGCAGGGCACCAAGCAGGGGTTGCCATGCTGTGTGAACTCTGTGCTGCAGTACCACCACCACCACCCCCCCATCTGCTCCAACACTGCCTGCACTGAGGGACATGGGGGACATGGACCAAAACTACAGCAAGGATTTTGACGCCAGGAAGAGCTAAGAGAGAATAAGTGGTGCCACATCAGGTGCTGTCCACACCTCCTCCCAGCCACGTCCCTCTGTGCAATTAGAAGAGCTGCATCTTTACAGCATTTGTGTCATCTGAAATCTGTCAGCATGCTCATCAAGGGAGGGGGAACTGCCAGGCAGGGGACATCCAGCCGCTGCCATCACCCTGTGCAGGGACATGGCCACTGCCATGAGAAGCTTCCAGGTGGGAAAAGGAGGAACCCCAGAGAAAGACCCTGCTCACATTTCCCCTGGAGCCCTCTGAGGGCCTCACAACCTCCAGGGCTGCGCCCCAAAGGTGTGGGCTCACCTTCCCTTCAGCACCTCCCCCCTTTGAGGAGGATGACAAGAAGCTGCTCCTCAAAACTCAGACAATGCTGGGCTTCACAGCTCCTGTCCCACCTCCCCGCCATGGGGCTTTGCCAGAAATTCTACTTTTGAAGACGAGCAGCATCCATGCAGAGATGCACCGATGCACCGACCTCCCACAGCTTCTCCCTGCCCACAGGAGCACAGAAAGCAGGCTGATGCATTCAGCCAGCAGGCGCTGCGTGAGCAGGGCAAGAGTTCAAAGGGCGAGGAGCAGAGAGAGAGCCTGAGCTGTGCCCCTTCTCGAGGGAAGGCCTCCAAGCACTGGGTTGCCCACAGCCACAGAACCTGCTGCAGCTCCTGGCTGAGCAGCCCCACAGCACAGAAGTTCAGGGGTCACACAGACCCCCAAACCCTGAACAGAGCTGCACAGAGTCACAAATGACACATTAAAAGCCAACCCACATCAGTATTGACAGCATGGCTTCCCCCCACCCATAGGCAGCCCCCAGCCCACCCCAATCACCTTCTTACCTTGCTAACATTGAGTGAAGCTAAAGGAGGAGGGGTTTCCGTGCGGTCGTTAATTATTTCCACTTCTGAAACATACTGTAAGTTTACAAGCAGGATATCTGCGTGGTTGGGCTTCCCACTGGAAGAAGGGCATTCTGGAGGGACAAAGCATTAAGGAAAACAAACCCAGACAGAGAGGTGCTGAGCACAGAAAGCCAGCAGGTGGTTTTCAGTGAGTTTTCCACCATCCTTGCCCCGGCTCTGCCAACCTGGCCACCTGCAAGACTGCACACCACGACCAAACTCTCCTTTGACTCATTTGATGCTGACGTGCTTTTCCCAACTACAGCAGAGATGTTTTCAGCCCAAAACTGCCAGGACCACACCACACACAAGCTGGGATATTGCGTGGTCTCTTCCAAGAAGCGAGCTCAGTTCTGCAGCTGCCACATTCTGAGCAGTGCAGTGCACTCCCTTACACACAAGCTGGTCTGGAAGTGAACCCAACCACCACCCTACTTCAAACTCACACAATGTTATCTCACAGCTGCTTCCTCTGGCAGGCAATAGCTAAGCCCACAGCCTCACCAGGAGGACAGGAGCTCCTCACCTCCCAGGTTTGTTGTGCTTGGTGCTGCAGCATGGCTGGGAAACGTAAATGAGACAACAGTGCACCACCCCCAGAAAACCTTTCTAGAACCGACACGAATTCCTGAGCAATCTGTTCCCAAGGAGCTGCACTGCAGGCCCTCACTGCTGTCTCCCATTGAAGAGAAGCCCGTGGGGCTCAGCTCTCCTCAGCCCCGAGCTGCCACAAAGCCCTCATGAGCAAACACATTTCTGCACAGCAGAGAGCACGAGGGATGTGGCACAAGAGTCTCTTCCCTGAGAGGATGAGATCACAGAAGGTCTGAAGTTGGAATGGACCCACAAGGAGCAGCAGGTCCAACTCCTGGTTCCACACAGGACTACTCAGAAGCTAAACCTCACAGCTGAGAACGGACGATGAGTCAGAACAGCCTGCTGCTGGGGAACTCTGCTGGAGGTCCCACTCCTCCTCCAGAGCTGTGGGACATTCCCCACAATGCTCCAGCACTCCTCACCAATGCAGCCTGCAGACATGGACGTCCAGCAGCTCCTGCCCTCTCTCACAGCTCCAGAATCAGCCCTGGGGCCATAGAATCACCTCAAACGCTCCTCCAGCCCTTTTCAGTACCATCCCTGGGCCCAAAGTCTGCCTTCACAAGCTTCCTGCAGTCCCTCTTAATGCTCTGCATCAACCCACCAGCCTTTTGCTCTCACATCACTGCCAGGTTAAAAAGATAAAGCACATCCTAGTGCATACACACACACACTGATGCATTTTAAGACCTGAGCACTGCCCCCCTGCTCCCTCCAGACAAGGCCTGGCAATGCCAGAGCTCTGACCCCTTCCCCACAGCATTTCTCCTCCACTTCAGTAACAACCAGGAGACCCCTATGCTCCCCATGTGCCCTTAGAAGACTCCTCCCACCCTCCCCAAATCTCACAGAGCCCTGCTCACCACGCTGCTGCCTCTCTTTGCAATCCAAGCTAGCACTATCCCCAACCAGAGCCTCCCCCGGGCTCCTCCTGTCCTCAGAATCCCCCCAGCAGGCTCCCCCACCCCCCCCAGGGCCTCACTGTGCTGTCCAAAGCCCCCAGAAG